GAATTGTGACGCAGATACAGCCAAACCACATTTTCTTTCAAAACAACGAAAGGACAATCGAAAAAGGTTTTTGTGTCATGCTGTCAAACAGATTTTAAATCAAGGTATAATAATAATATCACAAGCCAGACGTACAATTATTTACAAATTAGTTAGCCACTACATACTGCCATTTTCTTTTTAACTGTGTGACTTTTCACTGTGATACTGCAAAAAGTCTTAATAATAATAAAATTAACACTTCATTTCTATATGACCTCAACCCCAAGTAGTACATTTAAAAAGATTGCCTCTCAAGGATATACTGATAACATTTATCAAACAATGTCTTTATCAAGTATCTTACATTTAAATTTATCATTAAATATAATATCATACGTCCAAAATGGGTGGGATTGGTAGTTGCTGTTTCGGATTTTGTCTTCTGGTAGTTCTTATAGGGATTTCTTCGGGAATTCGCTATCAACCAACATGGGAATCAATTGACAGTAGACCGCTTCCTGCTTGGTATGACCATGGTAAATTGGGAATTTTCATTCATTGGGGAGTATTTTCTGTCCCCAGTGCTGGTTTTAATTCTCAATCAGAATGGTTTTGGACGTACTGGAGACAAGAAAAATTACCTGCATACGTGAATTTTATGAAAAATAACTACCGACCAGATTTTACCTACGCAGATTTCGCCAGAGACTTCACAGCAGAATTCTTCGACCCAAACGCATGGGCCGAACTATTCCAGTCGTCTGGAGCAGAGTAAGTATTGAAGTAAATAATATTACATCTACCCTTTACTTAAAATTAGATTTTATAAATTAGCTAACCTAGTTCATTGATTTCTATCACACGGAGGATTATTATATAATTTTTGATGTGGTATTCACTTCACATTTTTCGTTACAGCTACATTGTTTTTACGAGTAAACATGGCGAAGGTTTCACAAACTGGCCGTCCAATATATCATTCAATTGGAATTCCATGGAAGTTGGTCCTCAAAGAGATCTAGTTGGTAAGCCAAATTTTTTTTTTGCTTTCCTTACCAGTTGATAAGCAAAATCATTACAGCCCAATTACATTAGCCATTGTCATAGGGCTTTGGGCATCATTAATCTTCTCACGTGTAACATTGAACGTCATCGGTTACAAGTGCCTATGAAAATGTAAAAAACAACAGAAAATGCCCAAAGACTGAACATCTATGGCGTGTATTTTTTTAAATTGAACAATATGCACTATCCGATAGTCAATCACAGTCTTAATATAAAAACGCTTTTCGCTCAGTATCGAAAGTTTGTTTTCTTGATAGTAACTCTTTTGACTAGATGTGTATCATAATGACCTCGTTACTTGATAACGGACACCAAAATAAGTCTTCCAAATAATCTAATTGAGTGGCTATCTTATTTTCTAGGAGAACTTATGACAGCCATAAGGACAAAAACAAATCTACATTTCGGTTTGTATCACTGTCTGTATGAATGGCTTAACCCTCTGTACATTAATGATAAAGCCAATAACTGGAAGACATATGATTTCGTTAGGGTAAGTATTAGTTAGTAAATTGATGTTTTCATAGTCAACATAATAAACTACAAAATAATCCCGAGAGTCACGTCTACATTTATGTGGAAATAACTAATTAAACGTTAGGCATTATATCTAAACTGACAGGTAAAAGAAAGTTAACTTTAAAAAGCGAGGGTGCTCTACAGATGAAAGTCGGTTCTGTCTGTATCAGAGTTATTGCCCTTGACTGAGTAAAAACTCAAATTTGGCTTGCAGCCACAATAAAGACTACAGTTTTTATCTGATCTTGATTAAACTTGGTATGCATCTATATGTCGATGAGATCTCAGTCAAGTTCGAAATTCGTAATAATTGGATGAATGGGTTCGGAGTTATTGCCCTCAAATTCCAATTGTAGGCACGATAGACACTACAGTTTTTATCCAACCTAGATGAAACTAAGTATGCATGTATATGTCGATGAGATCTCAGTCGAGTTTGAAATTGGTACTAATGGTTTTGGAGTTATTGCCCTTGACTTAGAAAAAAAGCGTTAAATTTGGTAATAATTCGATGAACCGTTATTGCCCTTGTGGGTAGAGCGATGAGACATTGTTCATGTTTGAATTTAA